TGTTGAAATATTAATGTATACTGTTGAATAATTGAAATAAAATAAAATTTTGTACTGCGTATTTTTTTATATACAAGTGTAACCCCCCCGACAGAACAATCAAGCATGACCCACCGGTGGGTCAGGCCAGCGTCAACGTGTTAGCATCACGCCTGTACATTACCACAGTGTTGAGAATTGTTGCAACTCAACTCTTGCTGAGATCCGATGGCTGAGTGACGTCATCTCGAACTATGAACTCTCGCTAGAGATCACGAGAACTCGGGACTGAGAAGTCGCACGCTGCGTCGTGCGAACATTTAAACCTTTCATTATGTAAAATTTATGTAACCGTTAACGTCTTCATTAAATATATTTGTGTTAAGAAAGTTTATCATTTATGGATTATCCCTCTCAAGATTTTGCAGATGCACAGCACAGAGGAACTTCAGCCCATTGGCCCTGGCCGAACCCATTGGAACAAGGTAAGCAGTTTTGTTTTACCTTGATTAATTAGTTAGAAGTAAGATAAAGAATATAATAATAAGAATGATGAGTCATTTCTTAAAATTTATTACAACTACCTTTAAAAAATTAATTTTAACATAACAGGATGCTCAAAAATTTTTTACCTATGCCAGATTTGCTTTATGGCTACCTAAAAGTGAAGTAATTGCATAACAATCCTCCCACAGTTTGATTAGTAACTAATTTTCTAAAAGGTCATACCATCTTTCCATAAGCTGTTTTAACTGGAACTACTCTCTTGTTTCCATCGTTTACCTGGATATACATCAATCACCTTAGCCATTGGCCAAAATGTCTTCTGTTTTCCTTCAGTTTCAATCAGGCCGATGTCTCCAACTTTTGCATTGAAACAATCAGGCTTTTGCAGACATTAAATCAGTTGGCCAAGATGCTCGCTCCTAAATTACTTTCTTAAAATATCCTTCAAATCTTTTTGATGTCTTAACTTTTAGTTAAGGTTAATTTTATCACTATGATTTAAGTCACGTACTCCAGCCTCTGTTTCTCCCAGAAACAGTGCTGGGGTCAATGGGATAAGGTCTTTTGAATTACCGGAGATATAGGTGAATGTTTTAGATTGCGTAAGTTTATATAGTTCTATATTTAAGACGCCATTGAAATACTAGTTTAATTTTTAAATCCTTTTTTGATATCCTATGAATTTAACAATTTGGGAATTGCCCATGACGAAAAATCTGCAATAAAATTTTGGGTAAAGTGCAGAATCCCCCACTGCTTGATGCGTTTTTAAGATTGCTTGATGCTTGATGCGTTTATGCACATACTCGGTAACCATTTACACATCGACCTATTTTCACTTAAAAACAAAAAGCCCAAAATTGCACAAAAATGGCACTGTGCACGCCCTTGACTTTATCTATGTACAGATCCACTTATTTTCACTTAAAAAGTAAAAGAAAATTGACAAAAATCCAATTGTTTTTACCCTTGTAAGAATCGGAAAGAAATACATGGGTGATTCTGCACTTTACCAAGAATTTTTTCAAAGAAAAGGCATCATTCATTATAAAAAATTATGATTATGTTTGAACAACCAACGACATGAAATTATGCTTTAGCGATAACTCGGTAGCGAAACAGCGATGCAGGCATCCATTCAGTTATGTTTAGCAATTTTTATATAAATTATTATAATGATTTGAAATAGTTATTTACTCTTATGCTTCCATTCAGTCATGTTTAGCCTTTTTTATATAAATTATAATAATAAAAAAGTATTATATGAAATTAACCTTTCATCTAAATTAAAACATCAATCTTTAGATAGTTATTAACTATTATACTTCCTTTCTTGCGTTAGGGTTGCCGCAGTTATTTTTGGTAGCATCAACAATAGTTTCGGGATTTTTTACGGCCGTCAAAACCGAATAGTACCTGTATATATAATAATACATAATAAATTATTATTATATATATATATACAGTCAAAAGTCGTTAATCCGGACACCCATAATCCGGAATGATCTATAATCCGGACCTCAAAGCAACAAACTTTCAACGCATGCGTAAACGCAGCATGCGCGTTTAATGCATAACGGACGGTATAAGCTAAGCTCTAATTATCTATTTCAGTTAATGTTGATTGCGTTGTTCCTTAATCTTCGAATTGGATCCGGTTTATTATTTTTTGCAGACTGTTAGAGCAATTTTATAAAAGTAAGTTTGGAACTTTTCGATTATGTCAAATAGAATTTCCTGATGCTGGATAGCTGCCAAAGGATCTACAAAAGCGAAAGAATGTTTCAATGTCCAACAAACAGAAAGTAGAATTGCTGCAAAAAATGGATAAAGGCTCTTTTGTTTCTCTAACCATTCCGAAATCTGTTTATCAATTTCACGGCGTTCTGCGCGGGAGGGGGGAACGTCGCGGCGCGCAATGAACTGGAAGTTGATCTGTCAGCACTATCCTAATCTTAAGGGCAGATGTTTTTATTTTATTCGGCTTATAATTCCTTACTAAATGTAGTATTTCATCTCGATGTACTCCGTCTTTGATATGATTTAAATCAAATTCTTCGTCATTATAAATATCACGAATACAAATCAAATAGTTTTCTGTTTGCAATTTTCTAATTTCGACTATGCGTAATGTATGCTTTACGCATGCGCGCGTTGAAAGAAATGTTTAATAAAGTAAACAAATAAATATTAAGCTGTTTTTTTGTAAATTTTAATACCCTTTAGATCATAATTGCTCTTTATTTCATAAATTACGTTTCATATTTTTAATTTTATAATTTCTGCATGCCATCTTATCAGATTTAAACTGATGATCTATAATCAGGAAACATCGATAATCCGGAAGTCCCGACGAGTCCGGATTAAAGACTTTTGACTGTATATGATAAAAAGTAATATTTATTGTTTGTCGTTTATAGACAGTTTTGAATAATTCTGAATTGACGGCAAAGACAATTTCAATGATTTTCTTTTTTCTCTTCTTTTCTTCTATTTAAAAAAATCCTTCCTCTTTCAGTTAACTAAATTAAAAATAAGCATGTAAATATTATCCAAAAATGTTTCTGTATTAATTGTTTAGAATTGTAATGTATAATTTAATGCATCTTAAGGGCATTATATTTTGGCAGTTTTATTCATCAGTAATAATGCAATGATGATTGTCTTTTTCATTTGTTGTGTTCAATATCCCAATTTCGGATTTGTTACATTTACATTCCATATAATACTGCTAAATCATGTTATAAAATTTCCCTGTACAGATCAGAGGTTTGCCATATCAGACCTTTATCAGAGGTTTGATATTTGTCATTTAGAATGCAAAATAATATACAATTCTCTCTGTGCAACTAATGGCTCATAATTATGAAAATTTACTTAAATCTTTGCAAGCTTAGTGTTATTTTTTTATATTTATTATTATTCGACAACATACATAAAAAATAAGCTATATTACTTATGCTTATCAAAGATGTTTATTAATCAAAGCATAAATTGTTTTAAGTATAACCTATACGTGCTTTGACGAATAAGCCTCTTTGATTAATTATATTTGTTTTCAATTAATGATTTTATGTTGCACATGATTCCAGGTAAAATAGCTTCCTATTTTAAATGAGGATTTATCTTAATTTTTTAGGATCTATATGTATATCCTGTCTTCATGTCTTAAATCATCTTTCTGTTTAATTATTGCATACAAATAAAATTCCGATTCATTAAGTGTGAAGTTTCTTTCGTTAACAGGAGTTTCTCAGTGATTAAATTTGATAAAAATCAGGAATGATAACTTTTAATGTAATTAAAAGTACTAGTTTTTCCTATCAAAAATATTCTAAAAATAAAAATCTCGGTCCTTTATATTCTAATGAAAACAAGGTATTTTCCAGATTATTAAATATGAAAAGTTAAGTTCAATTTATTTATAAGCCTTTCAAACGGACATTTAAGATGGCATCCTTAAAGTTAGCGAGGACGAAAGTATCCCTACTGCAGTGACGTCGTGAACTGCACACTGTGGCCTTAAGTTCTAGGAGGTGTTGACGTTCCATATGTGGTTTCATTAATTCTGATGATTACTTCATCAAAAAATCAGTTTTTTTCCAATTTGGCACTATCTCTTAATGATTGATGTATTACATGTGCATTAATTTCACTTACATCAAGGAATCTAAAAAATATGCCCATTGCCCATCACCTTGTTCTTTGGCTTGAAGAATGTTTAGACATTTTTCATCCAATGCATCTACACCTACTTTAGTCAAATTGTATAATGTTATTAATTCTGGTTCCTTAGTTTCAAGGTCTTCTGATTTCGAATGATGCATTGAAGAAATGAGAATAACACTTTTTTATTTTTGAGGCACATATGAAACGAGAGTCATTCCAATGCATAAAGATCCTTTGCTTTCCGTTTTATTTGGCAAAAATTCACTTGGTATTTCTTACTTTTTTTCTTAGTACCAATATATGTCAAACCTCTAGAGTTAAACAAACTTTTATCAAGCCAGCTGGCTGAAATGACTCAAGTAGTCTTCTCCTCATGCGAGAAAAAAGTTGTAATAACTTACTTACATCTTCCTTATCGGTGGTTCTTGAGTTCTATTGGCCAAACAAAGACACTTTCCTTTAACTAAATCTATTTAATGAAGAGAAGACTATGTACAAATATTATATACAGATTACAGAGTATCTAGTTTATGTCACTCTCAAACACTCTCATCAACCTCTCAATCCTCTCTGCCGAAACTCTTAATTAGCTAAACATACGGGCGGCGCAGCGCCCTCTATCTCTTTTTTCTACATCACTCCCCACCTGTACTCTTTAATAAGAGTACACAAACTTACTTACATAACAATATCAACATTAATTAATAATGGATTAATACTAAATGGTATGACATATATAAATGAATAATATAAAAGAATAATCTATACTAGTATATAAAAGCCACAAATGAACATAATAATTAATAATATAATAAAACTCAATAATATCAAAAGTTCTATCTAAATTAAATCTCGAAAGGGTATAACATCTGGATCGATCTTCTGAATTGTCCTTTGAGCGTGCGAACAAGGCACGCTCGAACATGTCCATCTCTTCCTATAATCACGTTTTCAATTACACCCATGTCCCAAAGTAGTTTGGATTGTTTTGGTCCTTCTACCAACACAATGTCTCCAGTCTTAATGTCCCGCTCAGTTTTAGGATTAGCAAAGTTATGCGCATTTCTAAGATGGAGTAAATATTGCTCTTTCCACTTGATCCATGTTAATTTTAAGAGCTTAGATTGGTAAAGCTTCCTTCTGGTTAAAGTCTCTTTGTCGGATACCTTGTTAAAAATTTCCAAGAAATGCTCGGGAAAGTTAAATGTACCACGTCCTGGCAATAAAAACTGTGAAGGTGTGAGCGGGCGAGGTTCACCCAGCTCGTTGCTCTCATATGTTAGAGGTCTATTATTTAGCACACACTCGAGTTCAGTTAATATTGTAGAGAGCTCTTCGAAAGTCAGTAATGCTCTCCCTAAGATTTTCTTCAGAGGTTCCTTGATGCTTCTCATCAAACGCTCCCAGAACCCTCCCCACCATGGGGAACGCTCAGGTATAAATTTCCATGTTATCTCTTTGGATGTCAAGAAATCACTCACACTTGGATCTGCTTTGATTCTTTTAAATCCTTTAATTATTTCACATGTGCTGCGGAAATTCTTGGCATTATCTGAATAAATCACTTTGCAGCTCCCTCTTCTTGCTAAAAAAGTCGTAATGAAAAAATGAAACTTTTTGCTGATATATCTGAAACCACTTCAATGTGTACAGCACGAGTGACGGCGCATGTAAATAAGGCTATATACACCTTTTTGTGGTTATCCGCTTTTTCTATAATAGTAACTGCTCCCGTTAAGTCGATGCCTACAACTGTGAAAGGATTACTTTGGACTACACGATTCTCTGGGGTAACTGACCCGTTAACTGTTTGGCGGGCTTCACTGCGAACTTTTTACATACCAGGCAAGTGTTAATAACTTTCTTTACTACTTGTCTTCCTTTAGGTATCCAAAATTTATTCCTGACCTTGGACAATGTTGCCATGACTCCTGAATGGAATACTTTTATGTGTTCACTAAATATCACTAGTTCGGTGAACTTCGTTTTGGGCAGAATAATGGGATGTTTTTCGTCATCTATTAATTCTGCTTGTTCCAAACGATCTCTGACACGCAAAATACCTCTACTGTCCAGATATGGTGCTAAACTGTAAAGCTTAGAATCTGGTGTTATTAGATTATTCCTCTCTAGTTGTTGAATATCCGAAAAGTAATTCGCTCTCTGTACTTGTTTTATCCAGTACTCCTCAGCTTCTTGGATCTCCAATACAGTAAGAGGACCTTCTTCACAGACACGTTTTCTTAGCTTGGCGACAAACCGCTTTACCCAAGCTGTAACTCTCAACAATTTTTCGAGACTGCTGAATTTGGTAATGTCTAACGCATTTTCTTCTTCTGGAATAGTCACCTGAACATAAGTGCTTAAACGTTCCAAATTTTGAGTATCAGTTTCTACTTTAAACTTCTGCTCAGGCCATTGATCTTCAGAATCTTTCAACCATGATGGACCATGCCACCAGTTATTATCTTTCACCAATGCATTTGCTGTTTCACCACGAGTTAATTTATCTGCTGGGTTTTCCGACCCTGGACAATATTTCCACTTATCAGGCGAGGTACAGTCTTGTATTTCTGCAACTCTATTCGACACGAACTGTTTCCACTCACGCGCTGACCCCTTTATCCACCACAAGCAAATTTCGGAGTCCGTCCACAGAACTAACCTACCTACCAAATCCTGAAACATTTTCAATAAATATTTTCCTAACCTAGCTGCAATTACAGCCCCCATCAATTCCAACCTAGGGAGGGACAACTTTTTTAACGGAGCTATCCTATTCTTCGACATTATAAACGACGCACATAATACCTCTCCTCTCTCATTCTTATATCTAAAATATGTCCACCGCTCCATATGCCACTACTGACGCATCACTGAAAATATGAATTTCAAACCGACTGACCTTTATTTAGAACTTCTGTAAAGTAGTACCTCTCTATTTTCAACGCGTTTAATTCCTCAATTTCAGCGCACCACTTTATCCATTTGCACCGTAACTCCTTTGGCAACTCCGCATCCCACTCCAAATCTCTCTCCCATATTTCCTGCATCAGTCTCTTAACTCGCACCACAAATTTGAGAAATAAATCCGACTGGGTCAAACACCTTAACTGCTGTGATTAAACACAGATCTTTTGCTATTTCTCAACGATTCCAAACTACTCAACAATGATGTAACGTCTACTCTCAAACCATCCTCTTCTAAGTTCCACACCAAGCCTAACACTTTCAACTTACTCTCTCTCTCAGGACCTACTTTCTTCACACAACCCTTTCTGAACCCACAAGTCATACAGCTCTTTAGAATTAGTGTTTAGCTTTCTCAAATTAAAAACTCGCGTCTCTCAAAATAGATACCGCCTCTGATGAAAGACTGAAAGCTGATTCTACACTTTCCCCTCCATAACACAAATCGTCTGCATACAGTGAGCTATTTAAGCATCTCGACACAGTTTTATGCTTGTTTCCGCATATTTCTTTAAATGATGTTTGATCGTTGCACTCAATAAAAACGGTGAACAATTACATCCAAATAATACTCTGTTCATTTGCATAATTTTAAAGTCCTCACTGTCATTATCAGGATACCAGAGAAATTTTAAATATTGCCTATCTTCCCTTGCTATCCCAATCATCAAAAACGCCTTTTCTATGTCACCGCAGAATCCAATTTTAAATTTTCGAAAGGCAAGAATGATATCCAAAATATTCGGATTTAGGTTTGGGCCCTTTTCTAAGCAATCGTTTAACGATAGCTTTCCTCTTTCGCAACTGCTGCAATTAAATACCATTCGAACTTGAGTGCTTTTTTATCTTTAGGGACCACTGCTCGGAATGGCATAAAGTATCCCTCTCTCGTATCCTCACACTCTTGAATAATGTTGTTTTGTGTCTGAAATTTAATTATTTCCATAAACTGTTCCATCACAAAGCTGTTACTTTTTAACTTTCGCTGCACCCTTTCGAACTGCCTTTTCGCTAAACCAAAATTATTTTCCAAATGCTCTGCACTCCTATTCCACAACAAGCGAGCCTCATACCTCCCGTCTACATATTTCAAATCCTCTTCAAATTGTTTAATTATTCGCTCATCGCCAGAACCCCTTTCCGACGCGCACTCAGAGATTCCTAGACTTTCAATCTCCCAAAGTTGACGAATCTGTTCCGATATTTTTAATTCCTCTTCCGAATCGATGTGTATAAACAAGCCGGTGGAGTCTGACCCTGAACTTAGCTTCTTACTCTCTCCCCCCACTCTACCACTCAACGTCCAACCGAATATGCTTTCATGCAGTACTAAATATTCTGTTAACCGATGTGTTTTACCCGTTAAGATGCAGTTCAAGTAATCATTCCCTATTAAAATCTGTACCTCTGCCACTTCACTATCGCAGCTGTCAGATAAGTGAAATCCTTGTTGGCGAAGATTGTTTATAATTTCTGCAGATGGCCTGGGTAATGCATTGGAACATATGGTTTTTACTTCGAGTGCTTCGATGATTAGAGTGAACCCTGTCTTATTTTTTAGAGAAAGTCTTTTTCTTTTAAATTCTTGCACTGGCGGATTCGAAGATGCAAATGTATGAATTCTTAATCTTTCTGCACCAATAGTCGGTAAACTTGCTTTTCTGGAAATAGACTGACAAACATAAGATCTTTCGGAAGCAGAATCGCATAACAACCTAACGTTAAATGTGGAATTATTTCCTACCAGTTGACCTCTCAATGTTTGATACAAATCACGTCATTAGGAATTTGCTTGCTCAGTGTTTCGAGGAATAGTGAACTAACGTTTGTCTCTTTTGTTGCGCTCGCAGTATTTTTAATGGATTTATTTTCTTGCCCTTCTGCATCACACAGGCTCTCTAAATGCGACAAAGATTTGCAAATATTACATTTAACCCACTTTGCCTTACAAAATGGTTTTTTGTGACCCTTTTTTAAACAGCGCTTGCACTTAAATTGATCGTATAGTGCTTTGTGTTTCTCTGAAATACTTAAGTCGCAGTCTTTAGAAAGGTGAGATTTAATACATTTGCGTCGCCGCTGATACCATTTTCTTTTTAATTGGAGCAACACTCTTACGATAGTTGTCGGTATTTCTTTCACTGGTTATCGAAAGTGTTTCTTGTTTAAGACCCAGAGTTAGTGACTTTTCGCGCGCTTCTACTTCTCTCTTTAGAAACAATAATAAATTAAGCAACAATAAATAAATAATAATAAATAAACAACAACTCTTTAGAAACAACAAAGTGTCAGTTAATACAACTGACACTGTTGACTCTGTGTCGACCTCTTGCTCCCTACTAAACTGTAACACTAAATCTTGCGGTATACACTTATATAAAATAGGAAGTAATAGATTGCCATAAGAATTAAAATTAATATCTAATGTCTCTAAACTTCTTGTTTGAACTGTTATTTCATCATATAGTTTTCTTAAACTGGATACATCACTTGGTCGGCGTACTGGCTCTAAAGCTAGGAGAACGTTCATATGCGCGCTAACTAATATTTCTTTTTTCCCAAATCTGTCAGTTAAGATTTCGATGGCCTTTATATAGTTTTCTCCTATTAATGGCAATCCGCTTATAGCTTTTGCTGCTGAACCGGTGAGTAAAGATCTTAAATAGTTAAACTTCTCAACATCTTGAAGCGTATTGTTATCGTGAATGGCAGCTTTATACTGAGCCCAAAATTCAGTAAATTTACATAAATCGCCGCTGAAAGTTTCTAAGGTAATGCGAGGTAATTTAGTATTATAATTAGTTTTGATTTCCGAAACTTGTGAAGTTGTTCCTGTTTTACCCACATTTTGAATATATCTATTGACTTTCGATTTACATCTAATGATGGATTCGCTGTATTCTAAACAATGTTCTACTTCTGTCTCTAATTCCTGAACAGTGCTTTGAGCATTAATAACTTCATCATATTTTAACAAGCTAGTTTCTCTCTCGATTAACACTGAAAGCGATTCCTGCAACACTTCTAGGTTCGGATTCTCGCTTTGCAATTCCTCATCCAATTTCCTTATTAATTTTGTTACACTGGTACGAACCGAACCTCTAATTTTTCTATTTCTCTCGACGGTTTCTTCAAAACTCATTATCAAAGATAAATTGCATGCAGATAAATGAAATGACTCACCTTCCCGGCCGATGCACCAAAAACTTGTTGTATGTAATAACTTACTTACATCTTCTTTATCGGTGGTTCTTGAGTTCTATTGGCCAAACAAAGACACTTTCCTTTAACTAAATCTATTTAATGAAGAGAAGACTATGTACAAATATTATATACAGATTACAGAGTATCTAGTTTATGTCACTCTCAAACACTCTCATCAACCTCTCAACCCTCTCTGCCGAAACTCTTAATTAGCTAAACATATGGGCGGCGCAGCGCCCTCTATCTCTTTTTTCTACAAAAGTAACGTAAATGCAAGATGAGATCTATATGACCGCAGCCCTATTTTAAAAAAATTAATGGATAGAGTTTAATAAAAATTTAGGAATAGTTATATATTATGTCAACTTGAAAGTACTGATAAGGAGAAGAATATGTAATGTATAGGCAGTTTTGCAAATCTACAATATTGGCACGGTTCTCCTCTGTGTTTAAGGTTTATGTAAATAAAGCATTTTTCTAAACATTTGCAGCAGTAAATATCCATATTCATTTACTTTTTCATACTGATGAAAATGTCGCATCACTTTAGAATTACTCAAAATTTTAAAATAGCATTGTTTGCCAACCATTTCATTTTCCATAGAATTTCTTAATGCACTAGTAATATCTTTAAATAAAACATTATGCACGTGAAAATATTCTGAGCAATTAGAATCATAGAGTAGATATCATTAATGTTCCATGGCTCACTCGCGAACTAACTTTTTCTTCACTTGCTTTACTCATACGTATGAATGCAGTACAACTCTGATTTTCACTGTAAAAGGTATGATGCATTGATTCAATTTGAATATTTTTTTTAACAAACCGTTTGATAAATGCTTGATTTTTGTGTTTATTTGGATGCTTTATTGGATAGCCTTTTTGCCAGTAAATTAATTTTGACATTTTTCAGGCTTTCTTCAGCAATGAGGGGATGCAGAAAAAATAGCAAATAACTTTTGTGCAAACATAAAATATTGAACAGTGGTACTAAAATTTTCTGCTTTGAAACTACCCTCTAAATTTAAAAGATAATTAGTGCAAGGAATATAGATTGCACTTGAACTGTAGTACTGTACAAGCCTGCAATCCTGAGTATTTTCCCGATAACTTTGCTGTATTATCATATGTTTGCTTGCAATAATTTAATGTCAATACCTAATTCTGATAAAGTGGAGCATATGGGTTTTTCCAAGTAAGATGTTGTTTTTTGTTCAAATGGCATAAACCTTAGAACCTTTTCTTTTACATTACTACAAGGCATTGTTTTAAAAGTAAGTACTGTTTGAAAATAAAAAGAAAATGAATAGAATTTTTTAATATGAAAGCCTGTGCTTCAGTGTATTTTTCTATAATTTCCTTCAATATTAAAGCACATACCATCAGTTTTTGAATGTCTTCGTCATAGAAGTCTGCCACTTGATTCGACATCCACTGAAAAATGGTTGTTTTGACATCATCATCATTGTGAAGACTGCCCCCAGATGCTTCTTCAAATGCACAGACAGGAGGTAGTTACTGGGCACTCGCTAGCTCGGGACTATACAGTGGGCTTTCAAATACTGCAGCAGCTTCAACACAATTTTTCAGAAGGAAAGCTGTAATAGCATCTA